CGGTGTGTGTGTGTGTGTGTGTGACAGGTGGGCGGAGTGGATCTGCGTGACGCCAGTCATGAGCAGGCGGTGGAGGCCATCCGTAACGCTGCAAACCCCGTGGTGTTTCTGGTGCAGAGCATCGTTCACAGAGACAGAGTCAGTATCACACACACAATACAAGCATCTGCTGAACTGATCCATTTATTGATGCTGGTTAACACGTGTGGGTGTTTATAACATATTTATAACTGCTGCATACTAACTCTGGCTGGGCGATATAGCTTTAATGGAATATAAAACTTTATAAAAACCACTTTATCTAAAAATTAGATGTTCATATTCTGTTGACAATCTCAATATTTGTTAGTCTTTTAGGGATATGTGTTGCTGTATATCTCGGTGTTTATGTATTTGCTCTGCAGTGGTTTAAAACGTTTTTTTTTTTTTTTTTAATTATTTTCATTTAAATGCACCAATATAACACCCCTGTAAAAATAAAAATAAAAAAGAAGTGCACTGAAGCATATCTACTTACTATGGAAATAATATACTTTGAATAATAATACTTAAATAATACGTTGAATATTGCAATAAATATGAATTATACTTTAAATGTATATTAAATGCAATTAGCTGAACTTTAAAGTGCTTTTGAACCACTTAAATGGGAATTTAGTACATCTTTATACTAATTTCATAATTCTATTTTTCCCTACTGCTGAATGTACTGACAAGCATTTATGATAAACTAATATATAACTTGTTTGTTATGTATTTAAATAAGTATTCAAAAAAATATTAACTTTAAATGTAATATTGAACATAAACATATAAAATGTACTTTAAAGTATAATTTGAAATTTTGAATTGCACTTTTTAAAAGTGTTATAATACAGTCATGGAAGTGTCTATACATATAAATGGTCTTTTATTTCATTAATATTATATCATCTGCAAGTACAGTATTTAAAAAATACACTTGAATATAAAAAAAAATGCTTGAAGTAAAACTTACAAGTGCACAATTAACACAATTAAGCACACTTCTTTTTCACAAGGGTAATATAAAATGCATTTTTCACATTAAAAAAAATGCCATGCAGAGACTTCATAAAAGCAAATCATTGAATAAGTTTTGAATCAAATGATGAAATCAACTTAAGCACATTTACGAATGAGATTTAACAAGCAACGCTCCTTTTATGGCTCTCCAAAGTTCAACTGTTTCGCCGTTAATGTCCCGAGACACGTCCTCCACATTTACCCGCAGACCTCCTTTTTCAATAAGGCCACTTCTAGTTTACATATTAGATGTTTTAATGACTCGTCTTGCGGGATGAAATGTGTTTAAGCTGATATACTGGCGCAGGGTGATTCTGGCTTGCTAACCTTCTGTGCTGTGCTTGTAGAAACCTCCCGTAGCCCTGCTACAGCTGACGCGCTCAGAGCAACCCCTCCATCCTTACCCCGAATCCTGCTTTACATACAAACCGCTACAGGTTAGACGGAGTCGCCTGTGTGTGTGTGTGTGTGTGTGTACCTGGTATTTATCACGTTATTAATGATTATCAAGTGGTACATTCTAGAAAACTCATCCTTGTTCCTCAAGGTTTTCCATGGTTATGTTTCATTTTGAAAGTTTTGTGGGTTTTAGTCTGAATATATACTAGCACTCTTCAGGAAAAACAAACTGAAAATATTTGACTTTTTGTGCAGTAAATTGCTCTGTTGAATGAAAATGTCCCTTGTGAAAAAGAAGTGTACTTAACTGTACTTAATCTGCACTTGTAGTGTACTTCAATCTTACAATAATATTTTTAAAAAGCAGTACTTGCAGATAATATAATATTAATGAGCTTAACGGCTGCTTAAGTCACTTTCATGACTGTTTCTTTATCCACTTAAGTACACTTTTAAAAGCAATAATGTCAAATTAAAAGTTTTACTTTAAAGTACATTTTAAGTCATCAATCAAGTTTTATTCATCTTTTGTCATGCTTCAACCTCTTAACTAAGGTTGGTTTCTTTTTAAAGAAGACAATCAGCAAATTATTGCTGAAAGATTTAAAAAAAAATAAAGTGTAAAAACTTATTTATTACGTTTTAAACTTTAAGAAGTTTAAGTTTACTGTAAAGGAAATGCACTGTACTAAAATGTTTTATTTTATATAAAATAAATATTTAACTATATATTTTTGAATCTAAAATAAAATCAATCAAAAAGCCATGTGTCCAAAGCTTTCGAATGATTTCTAATTAGGATGATTACTAAAATATATGATGGTGAAAAAGGCAATTAAAAAAGAGCACCTGACAGTTAAGTGCCTTTATTGTGATGTGTGGACTAACATACTAAAGCACATGTAAAGCACGTGATTATCATTTTACCTGTAGTGCGTTACTGTTATTCAATATTACATTTTAAAGTTAATATGTTTTAAATGTACTAAAGCATCATTACAAATGTTTAATTACAGATAGATTAAAAATACATTAAGTAACAAAGTATATTTTTGTTTACCACAAAGCATTCAGCAGAACTTTAACCATATTTCAAAGACCATTTAAATAATTATGAAAGTAAATGTAAAGATGTACTTAAGTCCTACTTAAGTGGGTCAAAAAAGTGATCTAAAATTGCATTTAATATAGTTTTAAACTATAAAACTTTTTCATTAAACTAAAACATGTCCAAAAGCATTCAGTTCGCACTTAAGTGTATTATTTACATAATAAGTACTTTATTAAAATAAGCATGCTAAAGCGTAAATCTTTTTCACAAGGGAATTGTTTCACATTATCTGACTCGAAACCTCATCCTGCAAAAAAATCCAGAATCTACAGCACGATTCATTGTATCACTCCATACAGTATTTAAAGTGTTGTAATAATGTTGGATCTCTGAAACATGTCGTTAAATATCTCCGCTGACCGAAGCCTTGTATCGAGGCTCTCTGCGGTCTGTCCTTCTCTTCATCAGACCTTTATAAAGTGTCCGTGACCAGATGTGCGCTAATGATCCATGCCTCTTTCCCGCCCAGCAGATGGCTCTTTAAAGTAGCTTTGTTTCAATGGCACTGAACAACAAGCACAAAACACGAGGGGGGATCCGCAGCCATAAAGAGAGACTTTCATTACTGTGCAGGACTTCAGGATCTTCTGGACTAACAGAGAGCCTCTCAATGGCATTAGAGTTTAATGACGCTATTGAGGTCATGTAGAGATGTTTTTGTAGGACTGTGTTTGACGAGGACTCTTCTTGAATGTTTAATAACGGCAGACATCTGCGCTGGATGCAGCAGAGGACATTTCAGCCTTCGATCTGAAGAGCAGCGGTGAGAAGGTGAGTCTCATCACAGACTCCATTACTACTGCATTTAAGTCAGTGTTTACTCGCTCTCACTCTCAGGTCGTTTCTGAAACCTTTATGATTGTCTTCAGTGGAGCTAAATATGTGCAAGAATTACTGCAGCTCTTTTCATTACCAGAAAGAGCTGTGTTAGAAAGTCAAAGCATTACAACAACAGTTCATAGTGACCACTAAGTATAAGGTTAAGGTCCACAAATAACAAAAACGCCAAAAAAAACCACCATAAAAGATTTAAGAAATGGAAACAAACCATTTGAATTATAGCAGTGTTATTTTAGTATTATTTACCGTATATGCTATTGTAGTACTGATTAATGTTTCGAATTAGCTTTTTTTATTTTTTATTTTCAGGGCTTTGTTTTTGTAACTTTATGTGCTTTTGTCATTTTTATTTTTTTATTTTTAATACAACATATTTATGTTATTAATTTTATTTCAGTTTTAGTTTTAGTAATTTTAAACTTATTTTATTTCAGTTACTTGGCAATGTTTATATTTTATTTTATTTCAATTAAAAAACCTGACTGATAATATTTTCTTTAAGTCAATCATTTGTAAATATAGCAACATATCACATAAGTTGTGCTTTTTTGGTGTGCTGTTATTGATTGATTGATTGATTGATTGATTGATTTTTTTAACATTTATATTTATTTAAAAATTTATTAAGAGTTTATTGAGAAGATATATATTAGTTTTTTTTGTAATTTTTATGCACTTGTCATTTTTATTTAAATTAATACTTAAAATACTTCTAAATTATTTGTGTATTTTTTGTTTTAGTTTTAGTAATTTAAGAACTTATTTTATTTCAGTCTATTTTTTACTTTCTACTTTTTTTCCAAGTTTTTTTAAGTTTACGTTTTTCAATCTAATCTTTAGATTTTATTTTACTTCAGCATTATTTCAATTAGTGAAGATTTTAATTAAACTGACTGACAATCTTTCCCTCCAGTGAGAATTAAGAGCTAAAATTTAAAAAAAATATATATATATATATATGTGTGTGTGTGTTTACTAAACTCTAGGATCTGTAAATCTAGCAATAACACACAAGTTTTACTTATTTATGTATTACAATTTAAGATAATTTATATGAAATTTTATCCGGAGAATTGAATTTGCATGGAACATCATGAAGGGTGAGGAAATAATGTCCCAATTTCTATTGGATCTCCGTTTCAGAAGCACAGTGTTCACTAATAGTCTGTCAGTTTAAGTCCTGGTGATTTCACAGATGTAATTGTGCAAGAAAGTGCAATATGAAGTTATGCTTGAGGCAGAGTTTCCATAATCATGAAAAACCTGGAAATACCGGAGAGTTTTACAATTGTGATTTTCAGGCTTGGAGAAGTTATGGAAATCTCTGTAATAGGATGTCTCTAGTTATGCATTTTAGAGTGAATGTAAACGCCTCTGTGATGCATGTTACTGGCTAATAACAGTGTCCTATATGCTACACTAAGGGAGTGGCCTTTTTGTTAACTATGATAAACATGCTATATGATTTTATCCAGTAGCTAATCACAAAAGACTGGAAATTAGTTAACCGTTTCAGAAGCACAGTGTTCACTAATAGTCTGTCAGTTTAAGTCCTGGTGATTTCACAGATGTAATTGTGCAAGAAAGTGCAATATGAAGTTATGCTTGAGGCAGAGTTTCCATAATCATGAAAACCCTGGAAATACCGGAGAGTTTTACAATTGTGATTTTCAGGCTTGGAGAAGTCATGGAAATCTCTGTAATAGGATGTCTCTAGTTATGCATTTTAGAGTGAATGTAAACGCCTCTGTGATGCATGTTACTGGCTAATAACAGTGTCCTATATGCTACACTAAGGGAGTGGCCTTTTTGTTAACTATGATAACCATGCTATATGATTTTATCCAGTAGCTAATCACAAAAGACTGGAAATTAGTTAATTAATTACAATCCATTACACTGTAAACAAAACTTTATTTGCTAGCAAAACCCTGGGCACTCAGACTCTCAGAGGTTGCGTGAAAGCCAGCCAGTCTGATTAGCGATGCATATTTAAACCAACCAGCACGGTTTTTGCATGCATTATGCTTCTGGTGCTGTGTGAACGGTCTCTAGCTGTGCCATCTGAGACTCAGTGCTGAGAATAGCCTGCTAACTACTACTATTATAATGTCTGCAGTGTATAATATCTACACTGTGCACAGAATGTGAATTGCTGTCACATAGCATGACATGCCAGTGTTATTTTAGTATTATTAATATACTAGTATAGTATTTATAGTACATTGTTACAGTGTAATTATACATTTAAGTACTGAGTAATATTAATTACTTGCATGTAATTATGCATCATTTATTGTTATTATAATAGTAAGTACATGTAATGTGTAACAAGGACACCGTAAAGTGTTACCGTATTTATTAATACTTTGAAATGTGATTTTTTTTTTTTAAGTTTAGTTTAATTTTAATCATTTTGTTTTGAGCTTTTGTCATTGTCATGAGTTTTTGTTTTTATTAAATATTCTTATTTAGCTTTAATTTATTTTTTTGTCATTGTAGTTCTTCAATTTCAACTTATTTTCAGTTTGTTGCCTGTGCAACATTCCTAATTTTTGTTTAACTTTTTTAAGTTTTTCATTAAATGTTTGTTTTATTTCAGCTTTATCTCAGTTAACAAAAACAATATACATTATATTGTTCCTTTTAGTTTTAATTAATAATAACATCACTGTGACATACTATATTTGCCAAAATATACAGTATGCAGTAGAACACATGTAATACTATTTATTTTTTGTAATGCTAAAAGTTTTTTTTTTTTTTTTAATTTTCATAACTGATGACTAAGTGCCACACACATGCGTTGTGATGAAACAATGTTGCATATAACATTTTTTTGTTTTTTCAAAACTCTCAGGCAGTATAGTGTACACTTCTCAGTATTCAGTACGTAGTAAGCTAGTATTCTATTCCATCAGTGACAGAAAGCGTGTGGGCTGTCAGAAATCAGAAGAAGATTCTCAGGCCTGCCGTCACTTGCCCTGTTCTCAACTGACTCCAGAACAGATGTTGTGCTGTAAATGTGCTGTAGTTAGTCTGAACAAGCACTTGCTCTTCCTCTCTCTCTCTCTCTCTCTCTCTCTCTTTCTCTCTCTCTCTCTGTGTCTCACTGGTGCTGGTTATTCTCTGTTTTCTGTAGGCCGTTGACACTCACAGTAGACCTTTCCTCCGTCTGTGTCCAACTAATCCTTTCACTCCTACACCGTTTAAGGTTTGTGTCTTGTGTGTGTTTGTGTGTGTGTGTTTCCTCTCCCATCTATATGCAGTTATGGTTTCATAACATTAGCATATATAGCTCTAAAACTCTCTTTCTCTATAATATATATACAGTGGGTACGGAAAGTATTCAGACCCCCTTAAATTCAGACGAGCATGATTGAAAAGCTGGTTTAAATCTGAGGCTTTTTTGTATGAATAGTTTTTAATCGCACGATCCACATGATATTCATTACTCTGTGTAACACAAAAGGAGATGTTTAGTAGAATACTCGTGCTGCTCTTTTCCATACAGTGAAAGCACACAGTGACCAGCTGTTAAACTCAGAAAAAGGAATAAAATACATCACAAATGCAATGTTGTGTCAAGAACAGACCAAAATGTAAAGAGCAGCGTGAACATCCTGTTAACATCTTTTTTGTTCTACTTAAAAAGTTATACAAATTTGGAACAACATTTGAAACTTATGTGCAGTAACAATGTAATATTTTTTAGTAATCTCAATTTTACACCGTAACTGATATTCATTGAAAAAACCATGTATTAAACATGAATTTAGCAGGTTAATGAATGATTTGGAAGGTTTTTACAGAACAGCAGCATGTCTTGTTTTGTTGGTTCTTCATGCTGAGAAATTAAGAACAGATTAAATGTGATTTTGATTATATTACGCTTCATATTTCATGGGTTTAATGGAGGATGCCGTGCTGACAGATGATGTGCTAATTGGATAGAAATTATATCTTGTTTAATGTGTTTTATTTTTAAAACTGTGGCAGCTGTATCGAGAGGAGGGGAAAAGCTTCTTGTCGCTGCCTGTCGTTCCACATGTCGGGGAAACCGACTCGGACACACTGACTGAGATTCCCGACAGACTCGCTCTGCATAGCGACGGTCCTGATGAGGAAGAGGAGGATGAGTACGGATACAGCTGGAGTGAGTCTCACATTCGCTATAACACACAGCGGCCAACAGAGAGCGCCTATCACACTGACTCACACTGGACTAGTTTCAGAGAGAGACACTAGTGAAAAAAGAAGTACACTGTAGGATACTTTAAAAGAGTACTTATTATGGAATTAATATACTTGACTATAAGGATATAAGGTTACACTTTATTTTACAGTGTCTTTGTTACAGTGTAATTACACATTTAAGTACTGAGTAATATTAATTAACTACATATACTTGCTGTATGCTTAGAATGAAGGTCTGGTTTAGGGTTAGTTGCACTAAACTAAAATATACTTTAATGGCATTTCTATTGAAACTTTCATGTCTTGTGTTAAAATGTATTTATAATGATGAAGTTGCAACTTAGTACATTTAAGATATATTAACTTAAAATGTAATATCAAATAACACTATAGTTAAAATTAGCTTTAGTTTGTTAGTCAACACTTAAGTGTACTTCTTAAAAAATAACAGAAGATTATTAAAACATAATGATTAAAATAAACTTTAAAGTAAAACTTTTAAATTGACATCATTACAAAGTGCAAACTTTTTAAAAACTTTGTACTTAAGTGTACTTAAAAAGTAAGTGTGTTAAGAAACAGTCATTAAAGTGTCTCTCTTTCAGTCACTGAAGTGGCTTTTAAAAAAAAAAACTACATATACTTGCTGTATGCTTAGAATGAAGGTCTGGTTTAGGGTTAGTTGCATGTAATTATGCATAATTTATTGTTTTTACTATTGTAAGTGCATGTAACGTGTAACAAGGGCACTGTAAAATTAAGTTGGACTTAAGTAAATTTTTATAGATAATGTCATAATTACTTCTATTGTTTTTGAAGTATGGTTGAAGTACTGCTGAATGTACAGACAAGCATTTATGGTGAACTAAAAGATAAAGTAATATACTTTAATATAAAATATGCTTTATACACAACAAAAGATTATCAAAACAATGATTTTTTTTAAATGTACTTTGAGAATAATACTTTAATTTCACAGTATAACAAAGCACACTCTTTAAAAGTGTACTTAAGTGTGTTAAGAAACAGTCATGAAAGTGTCTCTCTTTAAGTGCTGCCAAATATACTTAAGTGTGAACTTAATACAGCTTTTGAAGTCTTAATTGCATGTTAACTGCAGTAAAATGAAAATGTGTTTAGTGTAAATTTATATTAAACGCAATTAGATGAACTTTAGAGTGTTTTCTGACCCACTTAAGGAGGACTTAAGTACATCTTTATATGTAATTTCATAACTACTTCTATTGTTTTTGAAGTATGGTTGAAGTACTGCTGAATGTACAGACAAGCATTTATGGTGAACTAAAAGATAAAGTAATATACTTTAATATAAAATATGCTTTATACACAACAAAAGATTATCAAAACAATGAGTACTTTGAGAGTAAAACTTTAATTTGACAGTATAACAAAGCACACTCTTTAAAAGTGTACTTAAGTGTGTTAAGAAACAGTCATGAAAGTGTCTCTCTTTAAGTGCTGCCAAATATACTTAAGTGTGAACTTAATACAGCTTTTGAAGTCTTAATTGCATGTTAACTGCAGTAAAATGAAAATGTGTTTAGTGTAAATTTATATTAAACGCAATTAGATGAACTTTAGAGTGTTTTCTGACCCACTTAAGTATGACTTAAGTACATTTTTATATGTAATTTCATAACTACTTCTATTGTCTTCGAAATATGGTTAAAGTGCTGCTGAATGTACTGACAAGAATTTATGGTGAACTAAAAGATAAAGTAATATACTTTAATATAAAATATGCTTTATACACAACAAAAGATTATCAAAACAATGAGTACTTTGAGAGTAAAACTTTAATTTGACAGTATAACAAAGCACACTCTTTAAAAGTGTACTTAAGTGTGTTAAGAAACAGTCATGAAAGTGTCTCTCTTTAAGTGCTGCCAAATATACTTAAGTGTGAACTTAATACAGCTTTTGAAGTCTTAATTGCATGTTAACTGCAGTAAAATGAAAATGTGTTTAGTGTAAATTTATATTAAACGCAATTAGATGAACTTTAGAGTGTTTTCTGACCCACTTAAGGAGGACTTAAGTACATCTTTATATGTAATTTCATAACTACTTCTATTGTTTTTGAAGTATGGTTGAAGTACTGCTGAATGTACAGACAAGCATTTATGGTGAACTAAAAGATAAAGTAATATACTTTAATATAAAATATGCTTTATACACAACAAAAGATTATCAAAACAATGAGTACTTTGAGAGTAAAACTTTAATTTGACAGTATAACAAAGCACACTCTTTAAAAGTGTACTTAAGTGTGTTAAGAAACAGTCATGAAAGTGTCTCTCTTTAAGTGCTGCCAAATATACTTAAGTGTGAACTTAATACAGTTTTTGAAGTCTTAATTGCATGTTAACTGCAGTAAAATGAAAATGTATTTAGTGTAAATTTATATTAAACGCAATTAGATGAACTTTAGAGTGTTTTCTGACCCACTTAAGTATGACTTAAGTACATTTTTATATGTAATTTCATAACTACTTCTATTGTCTTCGAAATATGGTTAAAGTGCTGCTGAATGTACTGACAAGAATTTATGCTAAACTAAAATATACTTTAATGGCATTTCTATTGAAACTTTCATGTCTTGTGTTAAAATGTATTTATAATGATGAAGTTGCAACTTAGTACATTTAAGATATATTAACTTAAAATGTAATATCAAATAACACTATAGTTAAAATTAGCTTTAGTTTGTTAGTCAACACTTAAGTGTACTTCTTAAAAAATAACAGAAGATTATTAAAACATAATGATTAAAATAAACTTTAAAGTAAAACTTTTAAATTGACATCATTACAAAGTGCAAACTTTTTAAAAACTTTGTACTTAAGTGTACTTAAAAAGTAAGTGTGTTAAGAAACAGTCATTAAAGTGTCTCTCTTTCAGTCACTGAAGTGGCTTTTAAAAAAAAAAATTTTAAATATACTTTTAAGATTTGAAGCACACTACAAGTGCACATCCAATACAGTTAAGCGCACTTCTTTTTCACAAGGGGTATGTGGCCATTCACACTGTACTGAACTAAATCTGTTATTAGACTGCAGTGATATGCTGCAGTAATACTACAGATTGCAAGTGTAATTTATGAGTAAAAGTATCTAACTGCAGGTGTGTGTGTGTGTGTGTGTGTGTCTGTGTGTGTGTCTGTGTGTGTCTCTGTGTCTGAGAAGAGAAGGTAACGGAGCGGTACGGTCGTTTACCCGGTGAGCTACACCTGATCGAGTTGGAGAAGGGTCGCACAGGTTTGGGTTTGAGTCTGGCAGGGAACCGCGATCGTTCACGCATGAGTGTGTTTGTGGTGGGAATCGATCCCAACGGCGCCGCCGGCCGAGACGAACACATCGTGGTGGGAGATGAACTGTTAGAGGTGAGTGTGTTTAAAACATCAAAACAGCAGTCTTGTGAAAAAGAAATACACTTTAGCATACTTTAAAAAAGAGTACTTATTATGTAATTTAAAAGAATATACTTAAGTGTAAACTGAATGTAATGTTTGCAGACACTTAATTGCATATTATTTGCAATTAATATTAAATGCAGTTTTTTTTGACTCACTTAAGTTGGTACTTAAGTACATTTTTTATATATCATTTCTTATATTTACTATTATTTACTTTACATAATTACTTCTATTGTTTTTGAAGTATGGTTGAAGTACTGCTGAATGTACAGACAAGCATTTATGGTGAATTAAAATATAAAGTAATATACTTTATACACAAAAAAAGATTATCAAAACAATGATTTTTAAAATGTACTTTGAGAGTAAAACTTTAATTTGACAGTATAACAAAGCACACTCTTTAAAAGTGTACTTAAGTGTGTTAAGAAACAGTCATGAAAGTGTCTCTCTTTAAGTCACTTAAGTGGCCTTTTATTTCATTAATATTATATTATCTGCAAGTTTTTTTAAGTACACTACAAGTGCACATTCAATGCAGTTATGCACACATCATTTTCATGCTAAACAGATCAGGCCTTTTTCTGATTCACCTGGTTGTCTTGGCAGATAAACGGTCAGGTTCTGTACGGCCGCAGTCATCAGAACGCCTCTGCCATTATTAAAAGCGCCCCTTCAAGGGTCAAGATCATCTTCATCCGGTAGGTCGAAGGTTGTGGTGTGTAAGTGTTGATCTGAAGAGATTTTGAAGCCTGTTGCAGGCTGACACGTGTGGTGTGTGTGTGTGTGTTTCAGGAACAGAGATGCTTTGAGTCAGATGGCAGTCGGGCCGATGAAGGAGACGGACTCACTGGACGCACACACAGAGGTGAACTCACACACATCTGTGTCCTTAACCCAGACTTTAAAATACATTATTTACTTCATTTCTGAATCAGCTTTACCTTTTGGGATCAAGTCAGCTTTAGACTCTTGTGAAAAAGAAGTGCTCTTGATTGTAGTGAATGTGCACTTGTAATGTACTTCAAATCTTAAAAGAATGTTTTTTTGCAGATAATATAATATTAATGAAATGAAAGGTCACTTAAGTGACTTAAAGAGAGACACTTACATGACTGTTTCTGAACCCACTTAAGTACACTTTTAAAAAGTGACCTTTGTAATAATGTCAAATTAAAAGTTTTACTTTAAAGTACTTTTGTAATTATTATGTTTTAATAATCTTATATCATGATTTAAAGAAGTGCACTTATTTTGATGTGTTGACTAACATACTTAAGCACATGTGAATTACTTGGTTATAATTTTAACTGTAGTGTGTTATTCAATATTACATTTTATTTAATGTATTTTAAATGCACTAAATTGACACTTTATTAGTGCTGTCATACGATTAAACGCGATTAATCGCATCCAAAATAAAAGTTTTTGTTTACATATGTGTGTGAATATATTAAATATATTTAGATATAAATTATATAAATATAAATATATTCACATGTAAATACATGTAAATATTTTCCAAATATACACTGTATGTGTGTGTTTTTATATATACATAACAAATAAATTATCTATAATAAACACAGCACACACATATATTATGTAAACAAAAACTTTTATTTTGGATGCGATTAATCGTTTGACAGCACTACACTTTATTACAAATGTATTGCAAAAATATTATAATTGGTATAAATGCTTGTCAGTACATTCAGCAGTACTTTACCCATATTTCAAAGACAATAGGAGTAAATATGAAAATACATATACAACTTATAGATTAAGTCCTAGTTAAGTGAAAAAACACTCTAAAGTTAAACTATTTTTAATATAAATTAATATAAATTTAAACTATAATACAGTTTGGTAACACTTTATTTTAAGGTGTCCTTGTTACACATGTTACATGTATGTACTAATATAATAACAATTAATTATGCCTAATTACATGCAAGTAACCCTAATCCTAACCCTAACCATATAGTAAGTACATGTAGTTAATTAATATTACTCAGTACTTAAATGTATAATTACACTGTAACAAGGACACCTTAAAATAAAGTGTAACTATGTGTAAATGTACTAAATGTAACCTACATTTTCATTTAATTGCAGTTAACATGCAATTAAGTGTCTGACAACATAACATTCAGTTCACACTTAAGTATATTATTTCCATAATAACCACTTTTTTAATAGTATTGTAAGGTGGACTACTTTTTCACAAGGGGAGGTAAACAGACACACATTAAACGAGAAGAAGATTGGTCATTCATTACTTTATGCACTTGTTTGGTTCTTTACTCTATTGTTCGTTCTTTTCTAAAACATAGAGCTATCCATTAGCATTCTTCTTCATCTCAATAAGTCCATTTCACGGTTTAAGAGATTTTAAGGGACCAGCATTTGAAGCCAAGCAGCCAAACTCTCACCCTCTGGTTCAATCATTCATTCATTCATCTATTTATCTATTCATGAATTTGACACACACTTCAGCTCTCTTCTGACTCAGTGTTTGTGTGGTTTCTCACTCTGTAGTGGTGATGTTCAGTGTTTTTTTCTCTCTGAAGGAGGATGACAGCAGGAGCGGATGCATCATTCAGAGTGTGGATGAGAACGGAGCAGCTGGAAGGGTATGAATCACTGTGCTGCAAAATTAAAGGCAAAAGAAATGATGTTCACAACCTAGGCCTGGGCGATAAAACGGTATCGATATTTATCGACGGTACACCTTCTTCGATAACGATATAAAAAATTTTCGATATAGGCACGTGCTATGAGTGACGCAGACAGCACACAGAAACACGAACACATGCTGAGTGCTGTGCCTGCCTGTGATGAGGAGATTGTGAATAAAAAAATGATATTAGTCGAATTTAAAATAAACATTTGCATTTGAATGCAAAAATAGTACA